CCCAACACAGTAACTGTCGAAAGCTTCGTTGCAGAATTCAAGGCCATTGTCGGTTCTCAACCTCTTAACCTTTCTGTCAGTCTGAGTTTCGACTAGAATCTTCCAACTTTTGAAATTCTCAAAAGTTTCATCCTTCGTCTTCTGAATGAATACCCATAGTTTTCTGGAATAGTCATCAACGATGGATAGAAAATACCTTGCACCTGAGTGTGAAGGATTCCTTGCAGGCCCCCAAAGATCAGCATGAATGTAATCCAGGGATCCATGTGTTCTTTGCTTGCCTTTGTTAAACTTCGCCCTACAGGATTTACCAAATACACAAGATTCACAAAATTCCAACTTTTCGACTTTGTCACCTCCTAGTAGGTTCTGCTTCCCCAATTCGACCAGGCCTCTTTCGCTGACATGGCCCAATCTCATGTGCCATAATTCTGTCTTCGACATAGATTTCGTAGATGCAACATTTGTCGAACCACTTACAACCTCAGCCTCAAGGGTATACAAGCCTTGTTTCTTCACGCCTCTCAAGACTTCCTTCGACCCCTTCATGACTCTTAGGATACTTTTCTCTCCTTGAAAAACATATCCTTTTCTGTCGAATTCACCAAGAGAAATCAAATTTCTCTTCAAGTCAGGTACGTACCTGACTTCAGTCAATAACCTTATTGACTCATCATGGAGCTTGAATCTCACAGATCCAATACCTGCAATTTTGCAAGATTTGTTGTTTCCTAGCAGCACAGATCCACCATCTTGATCACATAGCTCCTCGAACAATTCTCTGTTTGGAGTCATGTGCCAAGTGCAACCTGAATCCATAATCCACTCTTTCCTCGAGTCGCCACTTGAAACCACAAGAACATTAGATGAGTCGTCATCTTGAACAATGGCTGCATTACCATTACCTCCATGATCTTTCAGGCGTTCAGGGAACACCTTTCTTATGTGACCCTCCTTCTTACAGTGATAACATTGAATACTAGATGTTTCGCCACTATAAGACTTCTGTTGACTTTTACCTTTCTTCTTGTCGAACTTACCATCCTTTCGCAAGAATTTTCCCTTAACGGCCAAACCTTCGCCCACCGTCGAAGGTTTATGCTCCTTTCGTTCATTCAAGTCCTTAGAATACAAGGCTGATTGAACTTCTTCAAAGGTCAGGGACTCCCTTCCATACAAGAGAGTTTCTTTGAAGTGAGCATGTGTTCTGGGCAAAGCACACAGCAGCAACAGTGCTTGATCTTCATCATCGATCTTCACATCAATATTTTCAAGATCAAGAATCAGCTTGTTTAACATATCCAACTGCTCAGCCAACACTTTGTCTTCACTCATCTTGAATGAATATAAAGCTTGCTTCAGGTATAGTCGATTCACCAGATATTTGGTCATGTACAAACTTTCAAGTTTCACCCATAATCCCGATGTTGTAGTCTCCTTTGATACCTGTCGAAGAACCTTATCACCAAGGCTCAACAATATTGCGTTGTGGGCTTTCTCGATCATGCCTGTCTTTTCTTTTGCCGTTAATGCAGCGTCCATGGCTGCCTCACCCTTCAACGCTTCCAAACAACCCTGCTGAACCAATAGGGCTTTCATCTTCAAGCGCCACAGACCGAAGTCGTTCACTCCGGTGAACTTTTCAATCTCATACTTTGTCGAAGGCATCTTCTCCATGCTCACCGCACCAATTTGTTGTGAATCGGATACCTTTAAACAAAGTATAAACGGTTTCTTAATAATCAAGAAACACACAAGGGTTAGGGTTAATAAAGAAGACAAGGTAAAACAACAAGGAACAACAAGGATTGGTTATTAAACTGCTATTCTTTCCTTTCTCTTAGAACAAGATTACAAGTATACAAGAATAACAAAATAACCTCTCTCCCTTGAAATTAGGATTTTATCTTCCTATTTTTCCTTATGCCAAGATTGAGAAACTAGCATCCTATTTATAATAAAATAGCACACTAACCTAATGGGCTTTTTAACAATTACCCATTACAAGCTAACTTAGGGTACAAGCTAACTTAAACAATTGAGATTACAAGCAAGACCCAATTCAACATGCTAACAACCATAGCAATATTTACTAATGCATGTTAGAACAGACTTCGACTACAACACGCATTACTTGCGAACAAACTTCAACTATAATAGAGTTCGATCCAACATCTCACACAACAGAAATAATAACATTGATGTATGATATCGAGAAAGAGTAAAAAGAGTGAATCATATACTTTTAAAGAGAGTGTAAGGTATTGTTGAACATTTATTATGACAAGTAATAAGTCAAATTCAAACCTAACATTTTTTAGATCTCCTTTTACTTCCTCTAAATTTTCTTAAACATCTATCATATTTGAAACAAGGATCGCATCTGAAAGTACTATTACGAATAAAAAAAACTATATTTTTTTCACACTTTTCTAGATGAATAAATCTGTATCAAACTAAGCTTGTTCTCCATTTAAAAGAATACTTTCAGACGAGATTGATTTTTAATGTAGACCATATTCATATCTTGGAAGCCTAACCTAGTGATTTTGAAGTGTACACACAAATAGAGGTGCGAAAACAGGTCCGACCCATTGGACATGCTCGTTTTGCCCGTACTTTAGTGCATGGTGTACCAAGAGTTTATACCCGCACACTCTAATATGATTGTCCCGCCCCGCCCAATTTTTTTGCAGCTATGGACATTAACATAAATTTTGTATTTTTAAGCTTAAAATGTGCAGTTTCCATGGGTCCACCCAACCTTCATTTTTAATGCGGGACAAGTCAAGATTTTAGACTCGCACTCAAAAATATGTCCCTCCTGGCCCTTTCTTTGCAGGCTTTTGCCGAACAAATCTGAACGGGGCAGACATGTCTGTTTGTCACCCCTACACACAAGGTAGACACATGCGTGACAAATAAAAATGCACTCTCAATCTAGGTATGTCCTATCAAATTCCATCAAAAAATAAGACGGAACAGACAAAATAAAGAAGGTAAACGACAAACCTTAACTTGGTCTGCCAAAAAAAAAGGACTTAACTAACAAGTCATACAGTCCAAAACATCCCTAAAATCTAAAAGAAAAAAACAATTAATATTGTTCTGTTTAACGCTGCACACACTCAAAAATAGAGCGGAACAGACAAATTATAACTAACAGGCCGAAAACTTGTCTCAACTTACCAAAATTAACATACTAATTAACATGTGCACTTGAGTGATTTTATCACTCCTAAATAAACATCCGTATATTCAACTTAAAAACGAAAAAAAAATTGACATAAGAGTAACACATTCTATAAAACACTATTTTCTTAAAAATTATATCAAGTATATTTCAGATGCACTTATGAATATTTGTACATATCTGATTTTCTTATATCCATTAAGCACTTCATTTTTTTAATCTTTCTCTTCCATTACATAACCAGCATATTTTATAATCTATCACACCACTTTTTCATTTCTCTCTCAAGATGCATAGTGGATTTATAGATCTTTAAATAAAATTTTTATTCTAAAATAGTAAGAAATTTCAAAAATAAATATGATCATTTTGGAAATGTTGTATTGTGGCATTCCTCACTATAAGAAAAAGAATAAAAAGAAGAAAATAATGACCTAGAGAATTAAAGGGGTGATTATATCATGGTTCAACTCATGGCAGGAGAGCTGACATTATAACACTTATAACCATTAAGGGTGACAATTGATTGCCTATCATTATCATAATTCATTCTTGTTCATCCCATATTTCTCTTTTCACATTCTTTTACTTTTATCTTTTATAGAACCTCCCCCTTCTTTCTCAAGGCTTCATATCTTTTCTTATATTCTCTCTTTCTTTGGCCCCAAACCTATCATTCTTTCTCCATCTCCATCAGTTGCTGGTGAGTGGAGTTAGAAGTTGACATCTCTCTCTCTCTCTCTCTCTCTCTCCCTCTCTCTCCATCATTCTCAAGCTGTTTTAGCGCCACCATTTTATGATCTAAGCTTTTCCTGAAATCTAGCTCCAACTTAACAACAACAACAGATAAGGAGAGAGAGAAGCTCAGATGATTTATTAGGGCTCATTTTTATCTTTCCATAGTTTCATTTCTTCTACTCTTACAAACTAGTCTCCTTTTCCTTCATCACTTTCTTCTCTTTCTAGTACTCCTCGGGATCTGATCTCTCTCTCACTCTCTCTTTCTCTCTCCGGAGACAACAAAAGTAGAGATTTCAGTTCAATTCCCGAGGATACAACATTTTCACTTTCCACTTTTCATTTTCTTGTCTGTTTTGTCTCCTTCTGTCTTCCTTTTACTTCTGTTTTTTTGTCTCTTTCTGTTGGATTTGACCAAGCTTTCTTCAAACTACAAACACTCGTGGATCAAACACAAAGTGCTGCAAACAAAGGTTTTCTTCAGATCCATACTTATATTCAAGGTTGTTCCCTTTTTTTATAGCTACTTAAAATATTTTCTGTATATGCTTGAATCAAGGTTGATCTATATATTATATAGAGTTTCTCTTCTTTACTGTTCATATTATCATATCAAATTTGAATGTTTCCGTTTCAATAAATAATAACCAGATTAATGGTGGATGATCAATTAATTTTTATATATAATTCAAGTTCAACAACCTTAAAGACAACTAAAAGACAAACATATGAACCTAAAAGTCAACAGGTAATTAAATTAAATGTCACTTCTCAGGTTTGCACAAAATCTTTGACACGACTTTGATCTATGTTCGGTTGGTGTTTTTTTTTTCTTGATCTCGATCAACATCATGTTTTAGCCTGTCTTTTTTTCTTTAAGGTTGTCATTACAGTACTGTTTTTACAATTGATGTTTTTTATTTTTTTCCTTTCTAAAATCGTTTGAACAAGTAGCTTCTAAGTCATGTTTGTCTTTCCATATTTAATATACTTTTTGTTTATTTTTAATTACTAGAAGTCCTTTATGAACCTCTTTTGTGAACAGGTTTAGATTCTTCTGAGGTGGAACATGAACACATTCTCACATGTACCTCCCGGCTTTCGTTTTCATCCAACCGACGAAGAACTTGTTGATTACTATCTCAGGAAGAAGGTATCGTCTAAAAAGATCGATCTAGATGTCATCAAAGACGTCGATCTTTATAAAATTGAACCATGGGATCTTCAAGGTATGATGATTCAACAATTTTGTTTATGATAAATAAATATGTTATGTATGTAACACGTCGAAATTTGGACATACACATTGTTTTTACTGATGATGTTGTGAACAGAATTATGCAAAATAGGAAGTGATGAACAAAATGATTGGTATTTCTTTAGTCATAAGGATAAGAAGTATCCGACGGGAACTCGAACCAATAGAGCAACAAAAGCAGGGTTCTGGAAAGCAACGGGAAGAGATAAGGCTATATATTCAAAACAGTTCCTAGTTGGAATGAGAAAGACTCTTGTGTTTTACAAAGGACGTGCACCAAATGGACAGAAATCTGATTGGATCATGCATGAATATCGTCTTGAAACTAATCAAAATGGAACTTCTCAGGTATTCCAATTTTTTTTATTTGTATATTAGGTGGTTATAATCATTAAAAACACACAACCATGAGGTAAGGTTCGAACTCTGATACTAACGTTATTCAGAAATATCGATTTTTGATAGTTGAACTCAAAAGTAACATAGAGAAAATTACAACTAGCAATTGGTTGTTAACTCTAATATGTTTTACATATGTTATATTTTCCAAAAGACCAATAGAACTATATCAGTTTGGACAATATGAATCCATACTAAGTTTTTCAAACTACATTTAAGAGTGAGCCTAATATGAATCCTATTTATTTTTAGTCAACTAAATTAAAGAGGCCTCTAATATGAATTCTTACTATTTTTAATAAAATTTTAAAAATGTTTTACATATGTTATCCATTTTTTTTACTGTAAAATGTTATTCTTACTAAAAAACAATGATTTACAATTAGAATAATTTTTTAAGATTTATATTGAATTACCTTTAAATTAATTAAATAAAGAACAAGCTTTTTTTCAATTAGATTAACTTGGATAGACTATTATCAAAATTAAGAAACTTGTTTTGAAAGGTATTAAATTCTTTTGAATCTTTTTCATTGGTTAATCTTATATAAACTTTCAAAATTAGTTTAAAGATAATACCTTATAATTTTTAATAAAAAATTAATTTTTTAATATAAAAAATATAATATAGTTATAAAATTTTCATTAAATTTATTTAAAATTGAAAAGTCTACTAGTGGAACGAATACAGATTAGACAACCGATACATAAAATAAAATAGAACAAAAAAAACATTTTTTGACACGATTTTCTATATATTTTAATTAATAATATAAAACTTATATATACAAATAAAACTATAAATGATTCCAATATAAATTCTAATTTGTACATAATATGTCAACATAAAACTTATTTACACATTATATAATAATATCTCAACATATAAATTGTGTTAAAAACATCTCAACATATAAACATTTATTGAGATATGCATAAATTAATAAAAACAAACAAAGTTATATATATGGTCAAATAAAATATATATATATATATATATATATATATATATATATATATATATATATATATATATATATATATATATATATATATATATATATATATATATATATATATATATATATATATATATATATATATATATATATATATATATATATATATATATATATATATATATATATATATATATATATATATATATATATATATATATATATATATATATATATATATATTTCCAATAATTATTTTATTTAAACTCTCGGTAAATTAATACTACTTTTTAGGTTCTCAAATTTAATAAACTCAAAATGTATTTATAATAATAAGTAATATCCAATTATTAATAATTATAAAGTGGTTTTACTATTGATTTATTCAATTTTTATAAATTAAAGTTTATTGAAAAAATAAAGAAAAAACAAAACCTAAGGGATTTAAAATAAATTACAATTTATAAAATCTTTTTTCTCTTTTATAAAATTATAATATTTCTGGATAAAAAAATAAATTTTTTTTATCATATTCTTAATAAATAAAATAAAAAAACTTAATAAAGTAAATAAATGATAATGTTGTGTAACCGTTATCTTTTAGATAATTTATTTTTCTAATAAATCACTTCTATAAAAAAAATTTCAAGAAATATTATATAAAAATTTAATTGTATTTTATACTGTTAATCAATCACTTTATGCATTCTGTCCGACAATAAATTTTAAATTAATTATATAATATAACATATTAGTATACTTCTATTGAATAATAATGTAAAATTACATTGTCAATATATACAAATTACATTCATTATAATAAATACATATTCCTATATTTATGTACGGCCAATACATACTAATTACATTCATTATAATGAATACATATTACTATATTTATGTCATATCTTTAGTATTTGTAGTATATTTATACATTCAATTCATTAAAATCTCCACATTAGTAACATTGAGATTCCTATTACACTCTTATTTCTCTATATATTTCTTGTCTTAATTCTCAGCCAAACCCCTAACCATTAGAGAAATATTAACCTGACTTTCTTACTTTATTTATTCATATTCCTATAAAAGTATAAACTAACAAATAATATTGACATTTTGTATAACAATTCAAATTTCAATGCAAATATTAATAACTAAAAAAACTTAAACACTGATTTTGACATGGACAATCTTATAACTTAGGTGTAAAATTTGTTAGTTCAAATATTAATGTTATAGTTAATGTTTAATTGATAAGTTCTACTGCATGCAGGAAGAAGGTTGGGTTGTTTGCAGGGTATTCAAGAAGAGAATGACAACAGTACAAAAAATGAGTGAGTATGATCAATCACCATGCAACTGGTACGATGATCAAGTTTCCTTCATGCCTGATCTTGAATCTCCAACCAGAACCAATTCCCACCCAAATTACACTTCTCCATACCAATCATGCAAACCAGAACTTGAGTTATTGCAATACAACATTATACCAAACCATCAATACCATGACCTTCCACATCTTCAAAGCCCTAAAATCACTCCATCAGTTATTATCCCTTATAACCATGCTCATGCAAACAATAACAATATTGCACTCACTCAACAGCAGGAGCAACAACAGATGCAGTATTTGCAGTACCATCAACAAAATCTTCACTCGATTTACGGCGGAAACAGCAGCGCTGGGAATGTTAATGATGAACAAGTCACTGATTGGAGAGTTCTGGACAAATTTGTTGCTTCTCAGCTTAGTCAAGAAGATAACAACAATAACAATAATAATACTAATAATGATCAAGATCAGGTTTCTAATAAACAAAATAGTTCTTTCTCAAATGCAGCTATACTTCAAGTTGCGGAACAAATCACTCTTCTTGCTAATGATTCCAAAAAGAATGAAGTTTCTGAGGAACATGCTTCAACTTCTACCTCAAGTTGCCACATGGAACTCTGGAAGTGATCAAGTGCTACTACATTACATTACATTTATATATATATATATATATAGAGTTTTACTTGATGATGATGATGATGATGCATAATAATAATATATAGTATTTGAAGAAGAAGAAGAAAACATGAGTTGATGTACATAACAAACTCACATGTTTTATATATATCCTTAGTGTTGTTCATATATATGAACCTCTGGAGTGGAGTCTGGAGTATATAGACCAAATGTATGCTTATTATAATACTAGGCAATCGATGATATATTGCCCTAAATTTGTCTACATATTATATATATAATAATAAATTAGTACTTCAGTGTCAACATATAGGATTTGTTTATTGAATAAGTTTTTCAATAGCCAATTTCTTGAATATATGAGGTTTTGGTATTGAGGACTAAGTCAAGGACTAAGTGGTCAATTGTTGGTTGGATTTGATTAGAAGACAATTATACGAATGAGTTTCATAAAATTAAAATTAGATGAATCAATTGCATAATTCGCTCTCGGTAACAAAGTTATAAAAATATTAAATTAAATTGAATTATACAAATGAGTTTCTAGAATGTTTTAAAAAAACTATCACACTTAAGAAAATGTCAAATATATTGTAGATAATCGGATTTCACGTGTGTATAGTGAATGCTATTTTCCCCCTAAACACATGTATGTAAATGTGAGCATCTTTAATGGTAACAACTAAACTGAATTAAAATGAATAAATTAATTTATTTTATGTGGGATCATGGAAAATTTAAACAATCTAAAAGTTTTTATTATAAAGATGACTCTTTATAAAGACTTTAAACTTGACTCCACATAAAATAAAATAAAAGTAAATTTTTAAGTATAAATTGTTAGGTATAGGTATTTTTAGTGGAAATTGAATAAAAAAAATTAATTTATTTTTAAATAAAATATATATAAAAAATGACAGGACATTAAATGTGATTTTTTCATTAAATGTGAGTTTCTTAAAGGTCTAAGACTCACCCAAACAAATGAGAGACACCACATATTCATCCAAAATGTTAAGGTGATAGGTGTATGAGTCATCTTACTTATAAAGTGCTTAACCTCCACTTTTCCAAACAATGTGGTACTTAGAACTCACACTTGTTTCTCCACGCAATTCACACTTGTTTACCAAGAAAGCAAATATTAACCCTTCCAAGAATTTCAATTCTTTTATTGGTGAAAGGGGATGAAGACATAACAGGATTTTTCATTGGTGGAAAGGCATTTCTCTCCTTCTGATTAGAAGAATAATTGATTTGTCGTTTCTTGTCTTAAAAAGGTTTGAAACAGTTAGAAGTTCAGGTTATGGCATGATGTTTGGGTGGGTTGCCCCTTTGTGTGTCTCTTTAAGAGGTTTTTTCTTATTTCGGAGCAGATGCTCCAGATGGTGAGTTCTTTGGGCTCTTGGGAGGGGGAAGTTTAGGTGCGGAATTTTTAGTGGATGTGGCCTTTTCGAGTTTTTGAGGAAGAGCTTTTTTAGGGTTTGCTTGACCTTATTTCAAGGATGGTCGGATAGATTCTTGGGTTTGAAAACCAGGTCGACATAAAGGCTTTTTGGTTGTATCACCTTATGATAAGTTATTGGATATGGCTTAGGGTACTAAAGATAGGTAAAAAAGGGTGTGGCATGGGGATTTCAAGGGTCTGGAAGAGTTGGAGGCCTTCAATAATTGTTGTGTTGTCGTGATGTTGCTTTAGGATAGGTTGTCAACCAGGCATAATCTTTTGAGGCATCAAATCGTGCCTGGTTCGAGTAGTGTGTGGTGTGATTTATACGGGGAGTGTGGAGTCAATTGATCATATTTTTGTTTTGTGTGAGGTGACTTATGCTATTTGGTATAAAATGTTTAGGTGGGTGGGGTGGCAGAGGTACCTGTCATGTTCAATTCTTAGGGTATTTGAGTTGTTTTTTGGTCTAGCACTACTATAAATAATACTTTTTAAGACAAAATTTTCACTTGGACCCACCAAGTACCTGCAACGCTATCATCTTTTTTAAAATATATATAACTTATACCCTCGGTTATACCATCATTTCAGATCTTAGTTGCAACATTTTATGTTTTATTTTTATTTTTAATCGGTTTAAGGTCACATGACACCTTTCCCTTTTTTATTTAATTTATTTTTATTTATATTACTCTCGGTTATATTGGCCGAACGAGGGATAATATCTTTTGCATCAACATTTTCAAATACTTTTTTTCATTTTTATATTATTATTAATTATTAATTAATCTATTACCTCAGCTACTTCTTAAAATCGACGTGATGGTTAAGTTAAATGACCCAGAATATGGCGCTTAATGGGCTTTTATGTATACATTTTTAAAAATTTTTAATTGATACATTCCCTCGGTTTTGCCTAAAAACCAACATGTTTGATCTTTTGCATGACTATTTAAGAGAACTAGACTCTAATTTTTCACTTACCTATCTACAAACACTTTAACTTCATCGTTATTCTCTTCAAAAAAAACCCTAGGGTAATTTCATCAAAACTCTTCAATCATCAACTCGAACATCGTCTCTTTTCAACGTCAATTCATCCAACATCAACTCGAAAATCATCTCTTTTCAAAACTCTTCAAAGCTTCCCCATCACATTTGAGGCATGTAACTCACCACTGAAATGTTCATGTCTCATTGAAATAGCAATACCATTGAAATGTTGTTTGAAATATAGTTAACACTGAAATGTTGTTTGAAATGTTCATAGAACTCAAATAGTTACCACTGATATGTTTTATCATAACTTATATTCTGATTGTTGTTTAGTTGTTTAGAAATGTAATACCACTAAAATGTAATACCACTGAAATGTAATATCTCTAAGATGTTTTAGTTATTGTAGTCTGATTGTGGCTTAGTTGTTGTAGTTCGAACTAAGAAAATTAATACATATAATAGCATCACTTTACTAAGAAAATCAATGTAAACCTTAGTAAAAATAAGTGTTCTATAAACACAATTTATAAAGTTTTGTTTGCCACATTGTCATTAAATCCATCTTGGTGATTAATGTCCAACTTTTTATTCATCTTTTAGATAATAAACTTGTCAGGAACATATGTGTATGTTTCTAATGTTATCGTTTCAAAATGTGAATTCTTATTACAACACAAAAGACAAAATGTTTCACAATGAATCCTTTTCAAGATATTTTGAATACATTAATTTGAATCACAAGGAATACACTGGTTCAGGTTTGGTTGGTAACATTTGTGCTTGTATTTGATATATATATATATATATATATATATATATATATATATATATATATATATATATATATATATATATATGTTGTTAGTTTTCTTAATTTACACAGACTGGTGATTCGACAAGTACCTCTCATACAACTTCTGTTGTAACCTCTGTTAATACAAAAACATAAAAGAAAAGCTAAAGGTGTCACGATGTGTACCAAGTTGAAAAAATTCCACGGAAACGGTGTTCCATCTTTGGTTAATTTTGATTTGAGAATTGGAAATGCTTATAGTGAAAATGATGATGATTTTAGGGGTTACGTGACATTACAAGGTAGAAGCAAACCGAGTATTTTGATATATAATTGGCACGAGGTTGACGATGATTTGAAAGATAGCATCTAAATCGGTATTGTGGTATTTATTATGAATTTTTTAATTTGTTTTACAAGTATTTATGACCATTTACTTTTTTTTGGTTTAATACTAATATCAACTCTATTAATTATGTAAATGTATGAAGCGCTTATTATTCCAGAGGATAGTATAATGAAAAATAAATGGCTTACATATGCTGGTGAGCATTGGAATGGCTTTAAGACCCAAATCATAGATGAATATATTAAAAATCCAAATGATAACGAAGTGCCTCCATACGTTCACTTATTGATAAGAAAGTTTGGGAGGATTTTGTAAAGTCTCGCACCACTACTGAATTCTTGGCTATGATCCCAAAAAAGAGAATAGAGCTAGAAATATTTATTCACATAGATTGTCTCGTGGAGAATATGATAAATTTGAACAAAGAATGATTAATAAAAAAAGAAAACAAGGGGAACTAGAGTTGGGAGATCCTTCTAAAAGTCTTGATGGAAATCCATTTCCACTATCACAACATGAGAAATGGAAGAGGGCATTTCAAAGGCCAGATGGTTCATTCATATCAAAGGCTACACGCGAAATGGCTGCAAAGATTGTAAGAAGATACTTTTTTCAACATTACTTATTTTAGTTAATTCAGTTTTAGTTTTTTCAATGTGTTGTAGGATGTACTGGTTGAACAAGAAAAAGTTGGTAGCTTCGTTTCATAATCCTGTCATGACATCTTAGTAAAAGTGATTGGAACCGAGGATCATGTTGGGTGTGTTCGTGTCTTGGAAGAGGCGTTGATTTGAAGCCATATTTTGGACCATCACAACTAATTAACGAAGTAAACCATAGGAGAGAAATGAAGAGATATTTGCTGGAAAGATAGGGGAGATATTAGAACAAAAGCAGGAGAAGTGGAACTAAGAGGAACGAAAGGAGCAAGAAAGGACGTTGCAGGAGGACTGGGAGAAGATGTTGCAGGAGGTGCAAAATGAGCGGTAGAGGTTGGTCGAAGTTGACTGAGAAAAGTGTACCCGCGATGCGATTGAGACATAAGTATAATTTAAAATATATGTGTTGTATGTCATTGTTATTGTTTGTTTATTTTAATTTTTGTATTGTATTCGATTGTTTTTATGATGCAAAAATTGAAATTAATGGGTGTACTCAGCCACACATGTAAGTATTACTTGTGCTTTTTTGACATTATTTTATTTTTGCTAATTTATTACTTGTGCTTTATGTGTATTAATTAGTAGCTATATGAAAATTATTTATAGTCACATATAAACAACCAACAACTATGAATATGGATATTATGTGATGAGACATACACTTAATATTGTCTATAAAGGAATTATCAATTCATGGACTAAGGTATTAACTATCCATATACATTTAATTTATGTATA